TAAGAAGAAAATCTAAGTGGATATTTCAGAATAAAGTAGGTATCTATAAAAGTTATTTCTATGGTCACCAGGTGGCATGGTGGTTAAGGTGCTAGAAGTAGTAGACTCCCACATGACTGACCACGGTTTGAATCCCAGACCTGGCAACTTGCTTTCTCACTTTCTCTCTTTCTCTCTCTGGTGAGTGTACATGCCCTACAGCAAATTTAATAACAATAATAAATAAAATAATAAAATAAAATAAAATATTCCAAAAAAAGAGACAGCTCCAAAACTTTCAGTTTATTTCTGACATCACATCCCTTCTACTCCAAGGTTCCCAGCTCTTGAACTCTTGAATGTGTGTGCTGACCTCTTGAATGTGTCCTATCATTATAGATAAGACAAGTTGCAACTGGAGGGTCGATAATGGCTGCCTTTCCTTGAGTCCTTACTTTTATGAGGCAGACCACAGGCTATTCATATGCATATTCTCGTTTCAGTGCTCGCAAGGCAGGCTCCTTTTGTATTTCTACTTCACAAGAAAACTGAGATTGGAGTAGTAGCTCACACAGTCACCCTATTATTTCATTTGAACTCAGGTCTGTTTGACTCCAGAGGCCGAGTTTTTATTATAATATACCAATTTTGAGTTTCTGAGATTCTGAGATTTTACCTTTGGGCTTCAGATAATTCCTTCAAAATTCCCATATAATTTCTCTAACTGGACAAAGATCTGTTTTCTTTTACAGCTGAGTCTTGAGGGAGTACAAAAAAAGAAAGCAAAAATTCCACAGAGAAAAACAGACTAGTTGGACAGGGAAGAAACAGCTGCATCCACTTTAGGTAAAGTTACATGGCCTAGTTTATGGTTTTGGATGAAATAGCATGTTACCATTTGTCTATTCATTCTCCATGGTTTACTAGGGAAATGCCATTCGTTTCCCATTACCTTTCTCAAGAGCTAGGATAAAAAGAATATTATCTTCCCATACACACACACACACACACACACACACACACACACCCATACGCATACAAGTTCCCATTTATTTGAAGAGTAGAGTCTGTCATTTCTTCATCCAGCAAGATAACAAAATTTCTTAGCGCTTTGTCAACACACTTATGACTTTTTCAAACAACAATAAAAAAAAATTAAACAAAAGCCTTTTAAGAACTCATCTTCATAACCTGAGAAAATGAAAAAAGGGAATGTTCCTTTCATCAATCAACACCAGAGAGTAGAAAGTTTTCTTACATACGTAAACATCTAGTACTGAATTCTTCATTTATTCCTTTTAGGGAGTATATGTCTTTAAGAAAGAGATAAAATTATGTTTCCTCCAATAGCTTCATCTGCGATTGTCAAAAAGCAGACAGGGGAAACTACGTAAGCTGTCTTTTCTTCAATTAGAGCTATCTAAGATAAAGTAACTTCTACTTTTTTTTCCTCTGAATTAAATAGAAATTTGAAAGGCAGGAATTTATTACATTATCGTCTAGATATTATATGTCTTCTTTCTTTGAACTCATTCATGATCTCCTTAAAATGATACCATGTAACCTTACCATGGTAAGTAATTTGGGGTTAAAAAATGAACTTGATTAGCATCTCCAAGCCTTTGGCCAAAAAAGGCCCACTCAATCCCGGTTAATTTTGGAATGGGAAGCATACAATATTGGTATTGCAGGCAGCTCCAGAAAGGCTTTCCAGCCTCTGATGCTCTCAGTTTGTATTTGCATGTGAACAGCTTGTCAGCCATTTCATGAAGACAGATGAATCACAGGCCTGCTACTAGGGCGGTCAGACCTAAGTAAGAGAAGTATACATCTCTATGGCACGCAAATTTTTAAAAATGAAAATAAAATATCTCAGGGCCAGCAGGTGGCATAGTGGCTAAGGCACTGGACTCTGACATGGCCAACCGTGGTCTGAGTTTCAGATCTGAAAGCTTAAAAATCATGCCAGTTGTATGTGCATGCATGTCCCAAATTCCAAGAGGAGAACAGAAGAGTTTGTGGTGTGGCCAACCTCCCTTGGGGATAATTTCTCACTTTTCCTCTCTTTCTCTCTGTCTCTATCTAGTGAGTACACATACCCTATGGCAAAAACCTAGATTTAGAAAAAGGAAAGAAGAGTCGGCAGGTGGTGTGGTGGTTGAGGTGCTGGACTCCCACATGACTAACCATGGTTCAAGTCTCAATCCAGGTGACTTGTTTTCTCT